TTTGCACTGTTAAAGTTTATATAACTTTAATGCAGATAAAAAACAGCTGCTTGTTTAAGTGGAAATGCATTGATGGTTTTTTGCACTAATAAAGTTGTGGAGTTGTAAAGTATTTTGTCTAGGGTCAATTATATCGTCAGTTACATCGTTATCACAAATTTTCAAATGTATATGGTGATGAATATTTTTGGTCATATCGCCCTGCTCTAGTTTGCACTATAACTTGAATAGTACAGTTTTCTGGTGCGTGTCAGACCTCCCATGACCAAACCGTGTCCGTGCTGCAGCGGCCGCCCCTCATTTAGGAATAAGGTCCTCGTTTTGTCTTCACCGGCCATGCTGGGATTCCCCACGCCTGCATCCAAACCGTGAGAAAGTATCGTAAACAGTGGATTTTGCGAAACCACCAAACAAACGATGGCGTCTAATATGAGACAATAGATGTTTCTTCATATCGCACAGCCCTACATGTTATTATCTGTTAAAATGAGGAGTGATCACAGTCCATCAACTATGCTTTGTTCTTCCATTGGACACCCAGAGGGTGTACCCCAGGTGTTTTACTTTGGACCATGTGGTAAATACAATGCTATGGTTCTGGAGCTACTGGGACCCAGCTTAGAAGATCTGTTTGACCTCTGTGACAGGACTTTCTCTCTAAAGACTGTACTTATGATAGCCATACAGCTGGTAAGTCAGTGTTCCCATTTGAATGTTCAGACGTTAACCACCGGTAGTTTACCGAGCCGCTGAATCGGTTCTGCTCTCGTCTTGTCCCCTAGATAACTCGCATGGAGTTTGTCCACACCAGAAGCCTGATCTATAGAGATGTGAAACCCGAGAACTTCCTGGTTGGCCGACCGGGTTCCAAGAGGCAGCACACGATCCACATCATCGACTTTGGCCTGGCGAAAGAATACATTGACCCAGAGACCAAGAAGCACATCCCTTACAGAGAACACAAGAGTCTAACTGGCACTGCTAGATACATGAGCATAAATACACATCTAGGGAAAGGTGAGCGTCTTCATCCGGTCATATATTCACACATGGCAGGTGCCCACATATGACAGCAGCTCTTGCATTGTGTGCCCACTGTGCCAGCTGATAATTCACATTAACTTATTTTAACATATGTGATATTTACAGTATTTGCCTTGGTCTTAGTTAGACAGGATGCATTCAGACACAGTACTAAGTGCTGGTGAAGGACTGAAATTGCAGCTGGTGCCTCAACACGTGAAACTCTGAAGAGAGGAGCTGAGCGTCACGTGTTCAGCCTGACTTTGTAACGAAGTGATGATGTGGTCAAAGACTGTTATGACACATTTACCATCCTGGGGCTGTCTGTAGCAGACTGTGTCATGTTGTTACGGTCCAGCCATGCCGTCTAAGCCTGGTCTCTCGTGTTGTTTCAGAGCAAAGCCGGCGGGATGACCTGGAAGCTCTGGGCCACATGTTCATGTACTTCCTGCGAGGCAGCTTGCCCTGGCAGGGACTCAAGGTGAG